CGATACAGCTCCGAATTGAACTAATGCTTGGGTCTCGCAGGTACCAACAAGATAGGATTGGACGACGGCCGAAACGCAGATGGCACAGCTGTCGTGGATCTTAACACCAAAGTATACGGCACGGATAATCTCTTTGTGGTCGATGGGTCCATATTTCCAGGCATGGTCACAGCGAACCCCTCCGCGATGATCGTCACAGCAGCAGAGAACGCCGCTACGAGAATATTGGCATTGAAGAACGGACCCAAAGCTAGACCCGTTTCTCGCAGGAAGGGTGCCGTCATCATCACCTTGTAATGATCTATCATCGGCCAAAGCTTGTTTCCTTGTACATGAGATATGTTAATATCGAAAATAAATATCCTATTATGCTTATGTAGATGACATGATATAGTTAGTTATTGTACAAATTGTCCGCCGTATTGAGGAACGACGAAAATCATTATTCGCTCAAGAAAACAAGGTTGCGCTTTTCATTCCCATACATATATATATCAGTTATAAATGTTAGCATCGTCTGCTTGGCACCCAGCGAAATCTCAGAGGCACTGAGCGCCAGATGAAAATAGGCTTTCAAAGTACGTTGTATCAAACCCCTGGAATGTCCACTCATCGGCCTCAGCTGCCAGCTCTGGGTGGGCGAGGTGTGCCTGCGACCACTCAAATTGCATCATAGGCGGAAGTCCGTTAAAGTCAGCGTATGAGATCGAATTATTACTATATTCCATAGGGATTGACAATAAGTGAGATGCTTCAGCTTGATCTCCCTCGACAGGTGCGAGTTGTCGTTGATCTGATGGCGTGTTCCAGTTTGTCGCGGCCGGTTGGGTATTATGGGGAAGTGTGTGAGATGTCGAGTACTCAAAGTATTCATGTTGATTTAGGTTCATGTTAAGAGGAGTCATGTTAGTCGCGGTGGTGGATATAGCGGGCGTGCCGCTGGTGCTGGCAACAATATTGGGTGTTGACGTTGGTGTCGCGTGGGCATGCGGTTGCACATCATGCTGAAGATTCTGGGTATTCGCAGGTGGATTAATATTGATTGTTCCCATGTATGGGATCTCGAGATGAATCGCAGACATTTCGCCACCACCTTCGTTATTTCCACCTTCGCCACCGCCGCCATTTGTCATGAGGTCTGGGTTTAATAAAGGCACTAGAACACCCGGGGTCAGTCATCGCCATTTAGAGCGTATTTTGCGAAGGTTTCAGAAGCTCCTAGACACTGTTATATCCCAAAAAGGAAATCTCGTGCTTTGAAAATTACCAAAACAAGAAAATAATAGTTGCGAGAATTGCTTACAAAGACGACCTATGATGGAGGCGGCTTCCCGGGCGAGTTTATCGCCATTCCGGTCAGCCATATGCTGAAGTTTAGCACGCACTTCTTGGATTAGCATGCGGTCTGCCTCTCTCCTTGAAGTCGTGGCCGGGTCGCGCGCCTGCAGCTTTGGATCTAAGTATCCAAGGAGTAAAGTCATAGATGCCGTAAGTGCGCTATAATCAGTGTGGCGGCACGCATGTGATGCATTATTTATCTGCCGGAACAACAAGAACGTGTGTAAGAGTTGCCGCGATGAACTTATGCAAATAGCCTTGCTATAGTCCCAACGTCGTTCTTTTGAGTCACGGAGCATATAAGGGAGATGGAGTAGAATGAGAAGATTGTGATGATTCATCTGTAGCATCACCTTCGTTACTACAACAATTCGAGTTAGTTATTTGGCGCTTAAGGGTGATATACGAGTGCTTCAAAAGCTCAAAACGCTTCCAAGACATAGTTTCCGGCCAGAGGTTTGCTTTATGCGCTTGAAAACGACTAAAACAACATGAAAAACAAATTCCATTGACAATCACTTACTGCCGTGCATGCGTTCTGTGGGCTCTACATCCACAAAAGCCTTGACCGGTGGGAGCTGCCAGAAGTCGGATGTAACGCTCCGTGCCGCTGCCTCGAGATCGCAATCAATAGCTTGTGTCATACCAAAGGACGCATCACCTTTGCTGCAGTTGCGCTTGATTATAGCACCCATGACGACCGTATGCTGTTTTTCCAGTCTGTCTGTCGGATCATCGTCAGGTTCGCTACTTAAGAAAGAGTTGTCATCTGTGCCAGCCGGAAGGCCTAGAAGAAGAGACAAGTACCGATCCGTGAAGATAAGGCGGAACCAGAGTGCCTTTGCCTTGGCCTGAGTCAAAGGGTTGGACGCTGGATCAGCAGATTTTATCGGTTTGTCACCTAATCTATCAACACCCATGAGCTGAGCCACTGATATTGCGCGGCGGAGCATAAGCCACGCTTTGCGTAGGTTGCCGGCGTTAGCATGATACAGCGAGACCAAAGCTAGAGTTTCCAACCCTTCCGCATAACCTACTAGGTCGTCGTTGTAAGCTACTAGGTCTGAGACTGTTGAGACATACTTGGCCATCAGGCAACGAGTAGACTCTTTTGAAATAAGCTTAGGTGGTGTTTCAGGCTGGATCTGTTGGAGGCAGTTCGTGAGCTGCATCAATCGCTTCGCAAGCACAGCCGGGTGTGAGGACGGCTCTAGAGCAACACGGATAGGAGATAGGTCCACGGTTCGTCTAGCGGCTACATCCTGGTATCGTGAAAGGAAACTAATCACAAAGCCGGCTCCCGGGCTTGCCGCAATGATGGCGTCAATATCCTGTTGGCAGGGTAATAAATTATATAATGTTTTCGAGACCTGCGTATACTTGGAGCTGATACAAGGCATATCGGCCTGGCTAGGTGCTGGCGTTGGGAGGTCACCCATGGAAGGACAGACCCCATCGGGTGCCTTGTCACAGTCCACTAGAGGGGCAAGCACGTCGAACATGGGAGGTTTGCCAGCCGAGAAAGGGCATGCACCACCGTCGTCGGACTCCGGTTCAACAGTGTCGGCCGAAGCGGCCGAAGCGGCTGAAACGCTCGTGGGGCGCCCTCGGCTGGCGTTATAACTATCCGGCATTATCTTTTCGACCAACTTCTCGAGCATTTCTTCAACACGTCCCAGGCGTTGCGTCACCCGTCGGTCAGGCGTTGAAGCTTGCTCATCTGCAAACTCCTGGCTTACGCAATTTGAGCCACGAGACTCGCAATTGACACAAACTGAAGCATCTTCCGAAGGGTACAAACATCGGATCTTCCGTCTTCTACCTATTTATTCGGGTTTACATCAAAAATGCACTCGCTAAGACTCCACAAGGGGTTCACACTTACATTCCCAGCAACTGCGTGTTCCTTTCCGAACTTTCCTTCGCTTTGAATCACGGGTAACACCATCCGTACCGCGGACAGGGAGGCGCTGTTCTTGTGGCATATTGAGGCAAAACTATGTGATCAAAACCAGGACTGAGAGCAGACCATGTCTGTCTGACTGTGAATCCAATAGCCGTCTCACTATCTGTATAGGCGTCTCAGCTCTGTGTTAAAGCCGCAACTAGTGTACCAGCAACGAATAGTAGGGCACGGTTCACGATAACTCGTTTCTAATCACGCGCAAGGCAATAGGAAAGTCTGGCAGACAATTGAAGCGAAGGCACATGTTAACTTAGTGATCAATTGATACCCCGAACATGATGCCAAGGCCTTCGGCCGAATCCGGACAAAATTTGTCAGCACTAGCAACTTAGCGCTACATCATCCGAGAACTCGGACGAAAACCTGCTGACGGTAATTAACTAGGTTAGTTACTGGGTCGTTGACATGAGGATCTACTAGCACAGACCACTCTTTATTCACTCCTAACGATTTGCAACTACAATATATCCTTGGCAGTCAGCTACGAACCATTTTCTCTATTTTCGTGACTGTCGAGGCGATGTAAAAATTAACTGGCAGTCCCACCACTACCACTACAACCAACTTTCTGCCAGTTTATTTTTACACCGCCTCGACTGTGTCCAAACCGATAGCTAAGACAAGAATGGGCAACAGACCTAGATGCAATGTAGTCAGACATGTCGCCACGAGAAAGCAAGATTATATTGAACTCTCAGCAGTTTCCAGGGTCAGAATTTCAGTTTTTGACGCCAACAGTCCAATATGCGACCCTGGTGGCTTTTCTCAATCATTTTTGTGCACTAAGCGTGTTAAATCTGCTGATGGTGGCAATCGACGAATAGCTTCCCGACCAAGGATGGATTAAAATCCTTGTCTAGGCGGTTCTGGCTAACTGACTCAGTATACACACTTCTTAAATGTCCTACCACAATTCGCCATCAGCCTATCAAAATAATGGCTTCATTGTGGTGAAAACTACATACTAAGCGCATGTGCAGAGGACAAGCAAGCAATCATTGCTCGCCTGACCATGATGCACGTATCCATTTCGAGCTGTCTTGTGGTACACCTTGAAAATTAGATTCACACATTGCCTTACTTACATCATTCTCAAAACGCTACCGTCTAGGCTTCGTGGGGGTGCACTGGCTTTGGAATTGGTTGACTATACTCCCATCGGCTTCGGCAAGAGGGATGGGTAGTCCAAATATGAGACACATGCAGGCTAGACATGTGAGTAGCCCTACGGGTACTGCTTTTAAAGTGCCATCCCTCTTCTACAGGTACGACATCTTCTCGGTAGACTAGTTATATCCCGTAATATAATAATTTGATGTTTGCTGAAGTAGCTTCCTGCTGAGTAACGACCATTCTGCTAGGCATGCCGTGACTGTTCGTTTTGCTCCAGTGGCCATATCAACACCTGGAAGCCCAGACTCACAAACTCACTCCTGATGCACAAGTGCCTAATGGACAAGAAGGGTACGCCATCATAGCCCAAGACCCAAAGGTCAGGCATTCACTAGCAGCATGCAGCAATATTGAACACTTGGTTCGCAGGGGTCTGCTGACTCACTGTGGCGGTGCGGCGGTCCGGTCCTCTCCTTATAGCCGCCGGGCTTTTTTGCTTTAAATAATATGAGTTTTATTTAAGCTAAATTTTTTTTACTCAATATTTTAGTTAAAACATTTTTTGCTAATAGAAAAAAGAATTTGGCCCCGGCTGGATTCGAACCAGCGTCTTCGATTTATAGACGATATCCCACGCTAGGCTAAACCATTACCCCACGGAGCTATTGAAATTGTTTCTTATTTCTTTACTCAACCTATATTCTTTACTGACAGTTCTGCTCTGCAAGCCGACTTTCATAATTGTTTTTTTTAAGTGTATTTTCTTTATTAAGAATTATAATTTACTTTAAATTGCTAAGGGGCGTCGGCGTGTCGCCGGTGCCCCTTCTACGGGCCTCCACTGCAACAGCAGCGGAGATGCCTTGTTAACAGGAGACCAAGGAGCGGCTAAGTGGGCGAGGAGTCGAGGGAAGTTCAAGATTGCACGGAATAGGAGCAGCAACAGAGCAACTTAGGGTAGTAAGTACAGGGGGTTTTTACCCGGCGCCGGTACGTGGTAGCCCTGGAGTTGGGCTATACTACTGGCGTACGGGTTTTCCCTGCATGTTAAATAGACAGACACCGATAATTATAGCTAGCAAGCCGTTAACCCGAGTAATACAATATATATAACTTACTTTTATTAAAATTTAATTGGCGGTGAATGTAGTAATGGCCCTCCACAACAGGTCCCTTATAGTAGCTGAGTCCATAGATTAGATTAGCCTTCTGGATCTAAGGCCTTGCCGCTCTGGCCCGCCTCAATCTACATCACACTTACAGACTAAGTAGTGCCTCGCTACCCCTAGTAATCCGGTATATAACTATATACTCGAGGTTTATAGTACAGACGGCCAAGTTTAGTGATCCAGGTTTAAGGAAGCTAGTTACGGAGAAAGAATAAGCTCTTCATTCTCGTAGCACTTGTCGGCCAGAGTCGAGCGGCCAAGGTGGAGACGTTGTGTTCGACAAGGAATTGTGTGCGGTCGGGCTTGTGACCGCCGAGGCGGTGCAACACAGCATTCCAATGCTTGTCGTCAGTCGCGAGCTCATGGTTCTCGTTGAGTGGTCTCGGGCTGAGAGTATAGTTGTAGCCAGGAAAACTGGAGGTGACAGCATATCGTTAGCAATGTGCATAAATGGCTTTGACGTATTCGTGCGAGCTCACTTGGTCATTTGGGGCATTATCTCGGCTCTACTGTTCGGCGGGACTGTCGTGGAGGATTGGAGAGAGAGCTTGCGTGGGAGCTGACGACACGCCCTCACTGTTGTTGTTACTGTGGCCACTCCTGTTACTAGAAAGGCGAGCGGGTGACGTTAGACGGTCCGATGAGCTTTTGCCTTGGGATAGTTCGAATCGAGATCCGGAGCATTTCTGGGAGCGTAGATAGGGCTATCATACTAGAGTGTTATACGAAGGTCTATATTTTGCGTTCGTACCAACTATAACAACTTCCTGTTGTTGTAGACTCGATGGTCCTTTTGCAATACTAATATTAATGTTACTGCGTAGTAATAAAGCGCTAGATAGGGTTGTTTAGCTTTAACTGTTTTATATTTGTAAAGCATACCGTAGCGGGTAGCATTTCTTGTGATTGCGTTAGAAAGTTATGTAGGAGTGTATTATTTAGGACATCTAACTAGTTGAGTGCATTTACTCGTTATTAGAACCACTTTAAGTCCTGTCGGACGGTATACAATGCTACTTGCCTTGTTGAGTAGCCCTTCGTTTCTCGGTGAATTACGCATTTGTCACCATGCTACCTCAATTCATCGAGATTTCGAGAGCTAATATCATTGGTTATTTGATGTATTCTTGCTGCAGTAATATTTTTACATACCAATTCACAATGGCCCTGAAATTACGCTACGTTTTCATCAACCGAAGTCAGCATTCTTATGAGCCTGCCCTTTATCTAATCTTCTGTTGTTACTATTCTCTCTATTATACTATATAGCTATAGGACAACATAGCCGTTTCTGAACCTTATATTTGGACACCCCCGGCGACTTAGGTTTGAACTCCTACCCTAACTTAAACATCGGACATCATTCCGGTCACACCATCGGTAACAACTCAGTCCAGCTTCGATCCGAAATGCTGCCATCCAGCCCCATTATCTTCTTCTGCTGCTCCTCCGCCGCTGCCAGTACCACCTCCAGTATATTTGTTACTAATAATTGCCCAATAAGTTTTACACCACTATTTATAACGAGACTTTATTCTAATCTGTCAGTATACCTGTTACCTAGCTGTTCTATTAAATGTCAGGATATATTAGAATAGAACTAGCGGTTGGATAACCCTAACTTTGGCGATCCTAATACATAGGATTATAGCGATGACAACAAAATAAATATGCGTTATTTGATAAACATAGCTAACTACCTTTGAAACGTCGCAAACCTGTTGCTAAAAATAAAAAACAAGCCAATTACAGTTCTAGGCGGGCGTAATAGCAATTGCACCATTACGGATTTAATGACAGTCGCAAGCACAGTAAAAGGGGCATCAACCCCGGCTTATCCTCCCGGAGTTAACTTTATTAATATAAGACCAGTGGTAGTCTTTCCGGAACTCAAACTACGCTTCCACAGTGGTTAAAACCCACCGACAATAGCAATTGCCACTATTATATAACTTGGGTCCTAGCGACCCGCAATATCGAAAACATCATAGCAAATCCCTCTTTAAGCCAAAACACTTGGCCGTCCCTCGATCACGTTTACGAGAATAGCTGGATGCATCGATTCGCCTCCAGCATCCTAGACAGTTTTGCTCCTGATTTAGCAGGCATGCTTGGTCCCGCAAGCAAGATCAATTGCACCGATTTCCTCAATCTTATGTATAGGGGTACTCCAGGACACCGTACGCATAATTTGCTTAGAATAGTGTCGGAATCCCTAGCAAGGTGGGAGCATTTTGAAGATATAATTAGAATGAGTAAGGCGGCAAACGCCTACTGCAAGGTACTTAAGTATCTACTTTATAGCTGCTTATATGCTAACAGAGATAGTCCACCCTAATGACCGTCGACCGATTTCTAGTAGACTTTTCTACTATTTTAGGTCCCATGATGCAAAGTATCCCTAATGATCCCTGGGACGACACGTCTAAAGTGGAAGGTGTGAAAAAAAAGCTTACGTATAAGCTTAGATTCTAGAAACAGAACAAACTTGGACGCGAGATCGTGAAAATACCCGAAGCTTTTGTAGCATTTTAGCGGACAAACGCTAGAATATATAAAGCTTGGTAAGTTACAGCTTACTTCCAATAAGCGTTAGCTGATATAAAAAAAGCTTCTGATTGATCAGACCTTAGCTTGTGAACAGGCTTATCTAGAAAAGAAGTAGGCATTTGTCCCCAAATACAAAGATTTCATCACGTTATATACGGCACCACTTACTACCCAGGGAAACCTACAATACTTAATGCATTAGCTAGCATAGAACGTGTATAACCATGCACTCCTTGTCGAAGACCAGATCCGCCGAAATCTACTCACAAAGTTACAAATACAGGAATTTCAGGAGCTGTAGAGGGTGTATGAAGGCTTGCTAGACAATGCAAACCCCTACAATACCCCCATGATGTGGAATATACAGTATATATGGCCCTCCGTTGAGATCCTCGATGATGGCCCAGCGTGTAACTTATCGACCTCTGAGACTCAGGGCCCCAGTCCGGTAACTATTACTTTAGCACACCCGGGTGCTGTTACCTCCAGCCCAAGCGCCCCGAGCAGCACGATATGCTATCTCGATTCGCAATGTCAGTTGAGCTGCCTATTGGGTGAACACAATTATTGTATGCCAAGTGGGTTCGGGATCCATGGGTCAGGTTATTGTACCTGTGTTCCATTATCAACTCTGCCTCTAGCTGCGGCCCTAGCTGCTGCTGCTGCTGCTGCCGACTTTCCTCATTCAACTTCCCAGATTCAACTACTCATTACACAGATGGCAGGAGGTTTGGCGGCCGCCTAGTTTCGACCGGATGGCCTGCAGGCCCAGACATTGGTTTGAGGGGTAGTGACCACTGTTGAGTACTAACTGTTTGCGAAGAAATCGGCTCACGCGTTCTTTTATTGTTGAAACTCTGTCTCGTCTTTAGGATGCAATGTTTACAGATTGTTAACGAATAGCACGATCAGACTTTGCGCTCGTTTTGCTAGAATAAATAAGCTCAAGAATAGAATTTGCCAACCCCCTTGGTTTTCATAAACATAATCTCGTGACCCTAGATCCAACATTTCTTAAATTTGGACACTTAAAAAAAAAAAAAGCGAATAGGTGCACAATTATCTTGTTATACATGGGCATGCAGCACAGTTTACCCTACGACCTATATATATAGAAGCAACCGAGTTTAGCATAGTTCAATTCGATGATCAAGTTCTATTTCTCTAGAACGAAGTCACGTGAGAAAGTTCTTCATGTGGGTTGCAACCGGGATAGAGGCTTCCAGTCTTGGAGGCTTCCATACCAACACTTCAACATTTGTATGCAATATGCAAGTCACTAACGTTACCCTACATGTAGGGTCTCGCTTGTGCGTTCGTATGTTGGCATTCAGTCACTCCTGAAAATCACAATGGACTAAGCGGATTGAACTCTAGCTGTTTCCCAAGGCGGGCGAGCTTCTTCTTCTTAGTAGCTTTCTTGGCCAGTTTAGCAGCTTTTCATCCCTATATAAACTTATCCTTGTATTGTCTAGAACTCAAACCCCCCCCGCAATGATGCGTCTCAAGCCTCAGGACCTGGCTAAATCATATAGGCGGATTCTGGTATCAATCATTATGACACGAACTGGGTTGGATAAGTGTAATTGGAGCTGTACCAAGTTGCTTGGTGTTGGGCTTTTATTGAGGAATTCACTCTGGGGTGGCTGAAAACCATCGTTGCGCGAAGGGGTCTGGGCGCCTTCGTAGACTAGTCTTAGCTATAATTATGCATACTTTTATTATACAGAACTTTGTGTCAAAACACCTGGTAATACCGGCCAACGGTGATCACTTTAGCAATATATTCCCAGGATCTGGGTGAACGACACTTGGCATCCGCTATAGAAACTGGCCTGACCAATACTATGCGCCATAACGATTGTAATTAATATCCATCCTAAGATAGCAGACTCACAGCTGATTCGATATATGTATCTTTACTTCCTCATCCAGGCAGCTGTTA